GTAAGAGGGACCGGAGAGGAGAGAACATACGAGGTGCACCGGAGCCGCCGCGTGCTTCGTCGAGGGACCGCGCGCGCGTTCGCATTTAGTAACTCCATTAACGCGTTAACAATCGGTGGCAGGTTATCGCCGGATCGCGCGCTCGTATAACGGGCGATCTCGCGTGTCCCGAGATAGCGCCGGCAATCACGCTTCGTTCCGTTCGAGCGGTGATACGAAACGAGCCGGCACGCAACGCGGAGACTCTCCTCCCCCGCTTCACTCTCCATAGCGTGTGTACGTGTACGTTTTTGCGGTTCCTCTCTATCCAATTCTTTTCCCTCGCCGTTGACGATCTCGCGCGATCGCCTCGACCCGATAACCAAAAACGATTTCGTCGCGCGATCGCTCCCCCCCCCTCCGCTCTTCCCTCCCCGTCATCCTCGCTCGTTCCCGTTCTGTTTGATATCGCATTGCATGCACCACGCACGATCTCTCCCGATAACCGCGCGATAACATGCACTACCGAGATTCCATGCGATACCATAATCCGAATAATGTGACACCTGGCGCGTACAATTTTGAGAAGATTATGCTTCTTTTCTGTAAAACTTTGTTGAAGGAAAGAAGTGACTTATTTTCTTATAATCCAAGAATCAAAGAGCTTTACAATGACACATGAAAATATTGACAATGTAAATTGTACGTGCATAATATGAAGGGCATATAAAACTTCCAAGATATTACTAAAATTATTAATAAAAAGACCGAGTAATAAATATAGATGGACGAAAATAATTTACTTTATCTTACATTTTTTTACTTTTTAATTGTGTAAAGTCACTCCTAATAAGGAATTTTGAGGAAAATAAAAGTTTCTTTATACACTCTTTTATTATTAACAACTTGTTGCTGATTTTTCACTGACAATTTCACGTAGTACGTTAGATATTATTTATAGCAAACATTGTGCAATGAATATAGATAAATTTTTAAATTGATAACATTTCATCTTTATTTTAAATGAATACATGGAATACTTGTAACATTGAATCTGTAATGTTTTTATGATTAATCGCTCCAATCTAGAAATATGTCAAGTTGTATGAGTGATCGAGGTTATAATTGCCATCTCGTGTTAGATTTATTGAAACATAATAAGGATAAATCTAATCATTTTATCTACTTCGACAATACGAGCCAATACATTAGTATTTACGTTGCACGTTTATTGAATTTGATTATAATATCTATCAACTGATATATTTGGTCCACATATGTGACGCAACACAAAATGGCTTTATCACATATCTAACTGCAAATTAATTTACTCCACAAATATTTTGACCAAAATCGAAATACATAGTATTATGACAAAGTAGCGCAATGTTCGAAAATAACATTTGCGGCTACACGCGGAACTTTAGACGGCAAATACCGCAACCATAACGTTTCATGATGTTCGAGTAGCGTGAAACAGAAACTGAAAAGCCAGACAGGATATACCTGACCTAACCCTTTAGCGAGATAACCAAGCATTGGTTGTGGTCAGTCACCCGTAGAGGTTACATGAACCTAATGTTACTCATTGTATCCATCGCAAAATCTGCTTTCAGAATATATTCTCTTGATCTCTTCATTTAATAATACATAATATAAAGCGGATAAATTATTGAGAACTATTTTCCTAATTTAAGCAGAATACAATTAACTGAAATAAATTTTATATATATATATATATATATATATATATATATATATATATATGCAGATACCACCATATTGAGAAACATATTGAGAACAAAAACTCTTCTAAAGTACTTACGTATGTAGCGTTGGATTAACATATTAGATATTGTAACAGAGAGTTGACAGAGAATTGTAAGAACAGTAAAGATTGAAAGAAAAATATATCTTTAAGAAATTTTCATATGTATCACGCGTTCGCACAGAAGCCAAGATGTTTTCATACGTTCGTCTGATGCCTTTTCAAACGTGTCTTCAAGTATCGCACAAATGCACACTGACATACCGCAACATAGCGACTTCTTTCAATTGATGCACCGATGGTCCACTGCACATAAAAGGATGAGAAACGCTGACCTACATACATCATATAGACTGCTGCACTCTACACGGCAACAGAATCGACCTCGGTTGTTCTGTCGAAATTTCGATGCCATAAACTTTCCACGTCGGGTATGCCTTTCGTCCGGAACTCTCATTGAGTCTCAAGAGTCGTCGGAACAAACTCTCTTCCCTGAATCGCTACCGGTCGAGACTACGGTCGTTTCGGTTGTCTGAAGAAAAAACGGCATCACTTTGCACTCTACGTGCGCGGCTCCAAGTTTAAAGCTAACGTAAAGCGAAGTGATCAAAGAGAATGGTTAAATATAGGTGACAGACGTAAACACGAATCCAGAAAACTAATCGTCGAAATATGATAGAATGTATGTGCTTGACTCGAGAATTTGTTGTGTCTTTTTGAAAGGCTTTTGCGCAACTAAAATAAAAATTTTATACACATATTCGAGGAAAAAATTCGCGACATGTCAGTGTATATCTATTCGAACGAGCTACCGCGGTGGCGCTGAATCATTTCCGCGTTATTTGTTCTACTACGTTTCTCATGATGATCCCTTCGAAGACGTATTCTGAAATAAGTTCAGCTTTTATAAAGATCACAGAGGAAGAAAAGCAAATCCATAATAATTGGTCTACCGAGAAATTTCACATCAATCTAAAGTTTGAAGCCGATCGAAGTACCTCAAGTGGTTTAATGCTTTCGGACGAACCGATCTCTTCCAAATGCCTGGAAACATTGAAGCACTCGATTGTAGCAATCGAGAGCTGGCAATCATACTGCGGCAAAGTTTCTCCACTTGAAATTTCCGAGCACCTTGTCCAGCTTGCCAGCATTCGCGAAAAGTGTGCAAATTAATACTATTACGTAAACACAATGTTATACCGGGAATTAGCATATTTATGTCGGCGGAAGCGCAACTTTGCAAATACTCTTGTTACTTATCTTATTTGAAATAAAAAGAAATAGATATATTTCCAAGACGAATCGTATATTATGCTAAATGTCACAGACGGCAAACAATTGGGTCAACACATTTCTCTCTATTTGCAGAAAACGGCAGTAAAACGGCAAGTGCGATGAAAGCTTAATATTATTGCTTCGAAATATTTAATACGCTATCCCGTACCTGATTTAACGCATTTGTTGAAATATATTTCTATACTTACAAAATAAAAACTCTTGTAATATAATTCGGAATCTAACGTTTTTGCGTTGCGATAGAAATTAAAAAATTTATCATTTCTATCTAATATTTTGATAATTTTACGCGATTTAAAAAAAGATAATCACAAAATAAATTAAAAACGAACTATTAAATTGGCATTAAGTAAAAAAATTTTTATTTACATATTTATCGATTTACCTGTTATTGAGATAAAGTTGTACAAATTTATTTTATTGCATAATCTGATATCGCGCGGCATTTATATATGTACTTTGTACACAGCAATTCGATGGAAACGCCGTGATTGGCCACCAGGTTTATATACCTTATGTTTTATGCATTCTCTTTCTACAATGATCTTAAAGCATCAACAGAGGAAGGAAGCAGGCAGCCCCGTCTAAGGAAAACGGGGGCAGGTCTGCCGCATTCCCCCGGAGGTCGAGATCGTATTTCCGGCTTTCACAATTTTACTATTTATGCAATATCGTGCTCGGTCCCACCAGGTCGCAAGATAGGTCGTAGCGTTTGAGTAGGGGCGAAGTTACTAAGTACCGTTAAAACCAGTTTCTCCACAGACTCCGTTTCGTAAACTCTCTCGTTTGGTAAACAATAGCGATTGTAATTGCGAGGAATACAAAAAACGATAGTTTGAAAGAAAAATATGAGCAATTTTTTTATTCGTATCTCGTATTCCTATCTGTAAAATTGTGTAACATTTTATGAAAATAATAATTATTTCAATATTCATGCCTCTAGGAAACAGACCGGTTTATTATTTCTTCTTACACATTGGTAGAGTCCGCTTTCGTAAAGAAAGCATTGCAACAGTTTCGCGCGCTAAAAACAATTAAAGTTTTTTTTTAACAAAATTTGTTTATATTAAAATATCAGTGCATTTAGAACAGAACAAAACGTAATTCGTTATCTAAATTTTCTTTTAACGTCACATTAAAAACAAAGTGAAGCAAGATGTGGCTCACATATTGCAACTCGGTGGTAATTAAATTTCATGAAATATTTACGTAATACATGACTGCATTTTTGTAACAGTCTAATGCTTAATTAAAGTAAGCTTTTAAATCAAATTACTGTATGTATACTATACCGTATGATATATTTTACTCCAAATTTTTTCGCAGCTTTTACGTAAAATTAAATATATTTTCATTCAGCGTATAACAATCATTCGTCTTTTTTATTTTATTTATACACCAATGTATCGAACAGGATTATTTTAATATGACATATTTCTGTCGAATAAAATTTCTATCGAATCTCTTTTCTGTTTTGTAATATACAGATTGCTATTATTTACATAAGAGTAATGTTTTATACCATTACCATTTTATTATGACTTTTTTGTATCTGTAAAAATAATTATTTTGTATATCCATCAAGAGCTATTAAAAATGCCTGACGCATTATTTTCAGATGCAATCCAATCGGTTATGTTAAGCCAATTTATATAAATACAAATATATGTGCTGGCAGCTTCGCGTTTTTAGCAATATTTGTTTTAATTAAATTTCAATATATGCCTGTCATGTCCTGTTATGAATACATCTATCAAATTAAATAGATTATTTATCTGATATTTTAATCTGCTAAATGAAACTATTTTCTATATTAAGCTAAAACTTATATGAGAGATACGAAATTTTTTATTTTTTACTATTTAATTTATTTTATATTTCTTGTTATAAAATTAATCAAATATTTTTTAAATATTTACTATTATTATTATTACTAACTGTTAATTAATATTTTTAGATATCGTGGATCAGACGACGTGATTTCCACGTCTTAACAAGCTCCCTGTTCACATATACGAACGACGAGCGATTTCAAGTACTGCATCCCGAGGGCTCGGACGATTGGACTCTTCAAATAAAATATGTCCAAGAAAGAGACAACGGGACGTACGAGTGTCAGGTAACGTAGCCTACCGCGCGAACAATCTTCTTACGATTTAATTAATTCAATATACTTTAACAAACGTTTCTTCTCAAACCTTTATCGCGTAATATTTCCTCGCTTTATCATTTTGTTGTATATTTTTATTTCTTTTTTTCCCTTTAAAAAAGGGAAACTGATGAATCGCTCGTGAATTGACATTTATGTACCATCTTTTGTGATTTATCATTGATAATATTGGTCTCGCGATACGCCTGAGCTATCTGATATAACATGCAAATTATTATCTTCGGATGTATATTTCTATCTTGAAATCGGATATATATTTTATATAAATACAATATGAAAGTACGAGCGTGTATCATTAGGTGATATATGCCGAATATGTACAGTGAGAGTAATAAATCCTCCTAATTAATAATTCCAAACATTGCTAATTATGCATATCGCAACATATGCGTCATCAACTTGACATTAATGCACGATATACACTCGATGCCTAATATTACAAAACATTTAATTCTCTTTTTGCAATAATTTTTTAATAACTGATATTA